AAAGATTAGTAGCCTTCACCTAACTTTTCTTTTATTCCGTTATCACTTCCGATTTCCAAATAATGTCCGTGACTTTTTCTGGCAACACGGCAACCACACGTTTTGTACATTGTGTGTTTATAAGAACAATATTGTTGTAACAGAAGGGTTACAGCAAAAAAAAGAAAGTTTCAAAGAATAATTTTCATAGACTTTAAGGTAGTGAGAGAAATGTAGACATTAAACTTTTTCTCCTTTCAATATTTAAAAAGAAAAAAATATTAAAAATGTGTTTAACTAATTTTCTTATAATCTATGTAAAAGATATTTTCATTTTATTTAATAATTTGTTATCCTTTCAAAGTAACGTTTGTTATATTTCTTATAATTTCCGTATTTATACACAAGCAGTTGCAATTTTCAAATGAACTTTTGACACAGTTACCCTAATTATTCTAATTATTTATCCTAATTTTTATATCACCTGGCATATCTTAATTTAATACAAGAGGCGAAAGGGACAAGTTTTCATTAGTAAAAGCGAAACAAGCGTAAGCGTAAAATTGATTTCGAAATTAGGTAGGGTGCTGTCACGTGTTCATTATGATGGTTGCGAGTGACAGGTGGGCCTTAAAAACAAAAGGCTCGTGTACACGGTTGGTATTTTCCATTCACTCGTGGCCAAGCGGCGTGTAACGGCAATAATGAAGTTGCACGGTCATGTTAATTGAGAAGTTAAACAGAAATAGGAGCATTAAGCGCATTGGCCCGCGGGCTCCGTTGATATCCGAAGACGATGCAGTTAATGCTCATTCAATTACGTGATAAATGCCCAAAGTTTGAGCGTTATGGTTTAAATATATATTTAATTGAGCTAACGCGTTTCGATTTTTTCCCTCTAAAGTGTCCCTCGATTTTTATAATCCTAATCCCAACTTTATACATCCGATTATTAATCGTAACACGCTTTTATCTTCTTAATCACTTCAATACAGATCATGTATTTTTCTATGCAAATTTTTTACCGTCGTTTTATTCGACGAAATATTTTTTCTATGCATTTATATTGCAAATTACTGAAAATACTTACAAGAAATGCCTCGCGTGTGCAAAATAAATTCGTTGCACGTATGCTATCTCTAAGTCAAGGAATAATAATAATAATCACGAGCACGTGGATGTTTTAGCATAAGTCTGAAAAGGGCCTGTCGTCGCAGCACGACATGACGCATTTGATGCGGTGTTTAATAGATCATAAAGAACGTTTGAGTGTCACGATAAATATAACAACTCGCGATGCTGCTGAATGTTCGTGTCTTAACGCTTCAAGCGTGATCACTTCCATGTCGGGCAATAGTGCGAATTCGCGTGCGCGACTGGTATAGTTACTCCCATATATTGTATTTGTCTGTATATGTGTGTATGCATTACATAGAAAGACACGCGTAAAAGCTTCAATTTTCAATTGTAACATTAATAATAATTACGTATACAGCATACGAGAAATTTATATTAAATTAGAGAAATTTTCTCAAGTTATGTTTATATGCAAAATTTTACGCAGTTTATCACAATTTGCTTTGTGCATGCAGTTGACAAGTCAGAATTTATATAAAATACACGTCTCTACAAACTATAATTACTATTGCAAAAATTATAACATTGATTATATATATACACAGGCATACGAGAAATTTATATTAAAGAAACTTTCAAGTTACACAGAGAGATTTTTCTTTTAGAATTTATCCTGAAAATCATGGAACAATATGGTATTGGGGAAGAACTTTATAAGAGTTTCTTCGATTAATATTTAGCACAACAAAAAATATTAATACGTACATAGTAAAATTAATTAAATATATTTTATGTTATTATGGATATTAATACTTATTTCTTATTGTGATGTATTGTAAAAATATTAATTAGAAAAACTTTAATAAAATTCTTCCAATACCATATTGTCCCACGATTACTATGATTTTCTGGGATCATTTTTAGATAATTTTAAAACTCTAAGAGAAAATTTTCTTGTGCATTTTTTATATTGACAAGTTAATTCAAATTTAACAGACGTCTCTGCAAATTAATTACTATTATAAAGTAAGAGTGAAAATTAATTATCAGTGATCTTGCATATCGTATTATGTATATGTACATGAAGAATACAAGAAATATCGAATGTCACATCTAGATGATCTGAAAGAGAGAAAAGAGGAGACGAGAGGATCAGATCCGAGATACTTTGACTTTGGTTCTCCAAGGATCGATTCGTTGCTTTCCGACGCGAGTGAACCATCGAATCTGCTCTCATGTGTTTTTACATCCCCTTTCTTCATATACATGGCATTCTTTTTCTCAAATTTTTTATTTCCTATCAACCTGCTAGCATTGCGTGTTTCTGTGTCGGGTGTTTTCTCTATCTTGCGTGTCTTTCGAGAAAAAATTTTACGATATTTTATATAGAGGACACAACCATGCATATGATATATCGCATTTTCAAACGCGGTAAAATTCAATATTTCTTATCTTGCGAAAATATAAAATCATAGAAACGAAGAAAGATTCGTGTGTACAGAAAAAATATAAAATTCCTATTTTATAAAATAATGATTGGATTATTTATATAGAACGATTGTTTCAAATATATTGCTAAAATTATTCTCTTTTTATATTGTACATATACATATATGATTCATTATACATATTATACACGTTACATCGAGATTAGTGTCATGAAACGGAGGGGCTGGTTAGTGTAATACTTGTTTATTGATAGCTCGTGATTTAATTTGATTGAAGCTAACTCTGTCAAACATTCCTATCTTCCTACAACAAATACGCGTATATACAGATTTGATCCTATATCATTAACAATATTAATGATCATGCAATTTACTTGAAATAATACGTTTGAATATCTCATGAAAGCAGATTTGATGAAAAAAAGAGATCTTTAGGTATAGAAGAAGCTTTGTTTGTCGGGAACAGCTTTTTGAAACCTTCTGTATATGGACACGTAGGTGTGGCTTGTGACATGAGACAGAACTAGCTCGTATTTTATTTTGAGTGTCAGACACCCTCTCTCATGATCTCTCGAACTCCGCGTGAGAGCGTTATATGTTCACCGAAGATGAAAAAAGGAGAAGAAAGCGGAGGCGAGGCGTTGTTCATTTCGATGATGGCATGAAAGATAGGACTTGCGGAACGAAAGTTCAAAGGAAGATATATATGTTATCGGTCGCACGATTCCTATTAAAACCAGCTTATAAAAGTCTACGACTTTGACATTATACGATTCGTAAAAATCTCTGAAAGATCAAAAATTGCATGAGTCAATCCTTTTTCTTTCTTCTAAATTTTGTTGTAGATCAATTTGTATCTTTTCAAGCATACTGGATACAAGAGTAACATTTAATCAATTTGTCATGTTTCAATTTAAAAAAAGAGAATTGAACTTTATGCAATATTTTTCAATTAAATCTGTTTATTAATTTTAATATAAAATAAAAAAAATATTTATATGTTCTTATGATAATCTGCATTATAGAACTTTTTAATATAATAAATTTAAATTGTACACACAATATTACATCTTTTAAATAAAATGTACATATATATATATGCATATATTTTTTATAAATTTTTATTTAAAAGATGTAACATTGCAATTTAAATTTATTATTATTAAAAATTGCAAGCTCTATTAATAACTTGCCGATATTCTTTGTCGTTTGAACCATTCATTGAAATGTCACACCTTATTTAGCGCAGGGGATACTAGATTTCTTTAAGAGCTTTCTTAAGAAATGCGCATTCTTTGCACACGTTTTAGATTTTTCAAGCGTGAAAAAATAGTACTTCTTAAATCTTCGATTTCAAGAGCGTGAGTAATCTGTTGATTTAACAATGATAATTGGGGACGAATTTACAAATTTATTTAACTTGAAAAAAAATAGGAACAGGAAGAATCTTTTACTTTAAATGCTACTAATTATTTCACATATTTCAATGAAAGTAATATATAAGTAGTACAAGTATAGTATAGTGCATACGATAAATTTTAAAATTAATCGTATATTTTTATTCTACATTATTGAGTGCAAGATAATAAAATTTTACAATATACAATATATATATGATGAGGAAAAATGAATAAAATAAAGCAGATAAATATATGTATACACATAGATAAATTTCTCTTAGAATTTACCCTGAAAATCATAGAAGAATTTTATTAGAGTTTTCTGATTAATATTTACGCCACAATAAAAAATATTAATATCCGCAATAACAATTTTACATTTTATTGTGGATATTAATATTTTTTATTGTGGTGTAAATATTAATCAGAGAAATTTTCAAAAAATTCTTCCATAATACTGTCCCACGATTACCACGATATTTTCAGCAGGGTAAATTCTAAGAGAAAATTCTCTCCGTATATTAATATATACATATTATAAATATATATTTTATATACTAAATGTATGTATAATTAATATATTTATATAAAGATACATATATTTATTTTAATTATTCCGTTAAATATATACAATACAAAATTAATCTGAATATTATTATGTTGTTTATTGAACATATAAAAATATTCAAATTAAATGTAACATATTAAATCTAGCAAACGTATATTTGATTTAAACGTTCAATAATTCAATTAACAAAATAGTAATTTAATTGAATTTAGTCAAGTTAACAAAATGTTGTTCAGTGTAGTACGTTTTTCTCGCGCACCCAGTACATCGGCGGCATTCGAATCGAAATTCTCGTACTCGGAGCAGAGAGGGTATTCGCGGCGAAGCGCAAAAGCTCAGTTACTCGCCGACATGTAGTGGGGGACAGTCTTCTACCGGAGGGGAGAATGGCGCGGCGTTCTTTTACCGGCCGAGCCTTTAACCGGATACCGCCGATGGTGGGGGTCGAATCGTATCGAGTGGCAAGTTTCGAAAGGGGAAATGAGGGAGAGGAGGAGCGTTGCAGTCTGCGCGACGGAACGACCGGCTGAGTGCGCGGTACGTCCCATCCGGATATCACGAGCCTCGTTTCACCAACGTGGTCCATTGTTATGTGCTCGAAAAGTACCGGCGGAGTACATTGTTGGCGGCACGCACGCGCGCACGACCTCCTTCGGTGACCTACGTCTCTTCGATGTTCACCTCCATCGGAGCTTCGTACGCGCTCCCAGGCCGCCGGCCTTTTTGAAGATTCCGCGCAAATTGCCCCGGAGCTATCAATGCTCGACCTTCGCGGCGGGACATATCGTTTACCGTCTCCTCTCCCTTTCTTTCGTCACCCTCGATTCATCGCGCTTTGTTCCTCGATGAGCGCGCGCCATTTAATTGTCCTCCGTTTTCCACCGGCAAGCTCGTGATAGGTATTTCAGTGGGGAAAATTTGACAGTTCTCTCTGCCCGCGTATACGAAGTGATGATATTGTAATGACCCGGTATTATTATTTCTCGGTGACAGTAAGGATCGTGTAGAGGACGAACGAATCTTTGCGGCTGTCATACGAAGAGACTATATAAAAGTGAAAGTGAATTTTTGTAGTGTCGCTCTAGTAATTTTTTAGTTTGTCAAATTTTAAAAAGTCTCCAGCAGAAGATTTTATAATATATGATCATAATAGATGATCCGCTGAAACTCAAGGTATTTATTCATTTTTATGTTTATCATTGTTGAATTAGATTGTAATTAAATTAATCGAAAACAAATATAAACAGGCAACATTTAAGAATATGTTGTGTTATATTATAATAATAGGAAGAGAAGACACACAGAATGATACATATATTATTGATGCAAAACATAATATATTCACACATGATTTAGATATTAATTTTGTGATAAATTTTTCTGAGATTGAATTTTTAATAAATATAAAATTATATCGCATATAAATATCTTAAATAAACTAAAATTACTAATTAATATATTCATATTTATATAATTTTGCTTTTTCAAATATAAATAGAGTGTTGATATATACATATTTATAAATCTTTATAGTGCATTGTTCACGTTTGTCACATTAAAAAATATTTTATTTTAACATAATCAGAGATTGCATGTACACAATGAAAACGTCATAATCCAAAATTTAAAAAGCTACTAATAAATATTTCTATATGCGTATATCATGTGTGTAACATTGTTGCACGAGTGCGCAAAATACCGCAGTGTCATTCGAGAATTTGTACAACGTTAATTTTTTTTTATATGAAAGTGCAAATGTTGAATTTAATATGTTTCGATATGTCACGGAGAATCTGAGAGCGGGAAGAAATTGAGCTGTCTCAGGCGTGGATCGGCGCCGTTAGACTTTCTCATTAGTTCGTTTGCTCTACCAATTAGAGAATAGTTCTCGAGATGGGACACAGAGTCACTGTGCAAAGTGTCGTGAAATCTGTGTGTATAACGGTACGAAATTTTCAGAATTGCGACATGTTCTCGCAAGGGAAAATGTGTACGAAAAAAAATGTTTGATTCGTCATTTTGCTCCGATAAATTTTTCGATTCGCTGATATAGTTGAAGCGCTTCCGTGCGCTAAATTGCAAGGGTCAATTTCACGTAAATTTCGAATTCATATTATCGCGTATAATACGTGAATTGTACATGAATTACATGTTTTATATATACGATATAAGGAAGAAGGGGCGTGAGAATTTTATGTGATTTTCATGTAGGATATCGCGCTGCATCATATATTTTATCACTGCATCGCGCTTTTTGATATTAGCCTAGAATTGTGTCGTAACATACACGATCGGTTTTATTTACATTTAACTTCATGATATTTGTGCAGATACGATAAGCGATAAAATAAAGAATATAGATGAAATAACGAACGCATAATAATATAAATGTTATGTATGTTTAAGGATCATAACGCGTAAGGCGTTTATATATGTTTAGACAACGAAATGGAAAGTGTATATAACTGGGAAACGATTTATTAGTCTTGCTTGGTTGTTACGAAAATACAAACATAATTTACAATTTTTATATTGTGAACTATCTTTTTTATATTTAACTACTATTTTTTCAGTCGTTTTTCTAATGAGAGAAATGATCAGAAAACTCAATTTTTTCAGAATATTTTAAACATTATTTTTGAACAAATATAAATTTGAATATAATTAGAATTCGCTTCTAATTTTCTTATTGAATTTAAACTTTGTACGCTTATACAACATTGTGGATAAAATTACTTCGTTAATGAGATCGGTAAATTTGTTTTTAGAGTATTAAACTTATATGTGTGTACGCAGAATCACCGACCGCATAATCGCACTATATAATAATCATTACAATTACGACCAATGTAATAGTGCTCACTTGTCAGGCTCCATAAAGTCTGGTTATTATTTTGCTCATAAACACCTGCACTCGTGTCAGTATTCTCCGCCAGTATATCCTCGTGTATATTTGGCTTTCCGGCCGCGTATATTAGCTCACTCACTTAAGATAATCGAAGACAGATATTACACAGATAATTGTAATTGAATGTTATATATCCATCATCAGAACTCTGATATGCTCTGATCTATTTTCAGCTATATTACTTCCTTCTTATTTTTCTAATTTTAGATAAAGTCATAAATCGCAGATGAATATGCTAGATTTAATTATTAATCAATCTGATCGAATTAAGAGAATAAACTGAATAGACGTGAATTTGTTATATATAATAGTTCAGTAAAATATATGCATAGAATATGATTTACAAATAATTAACGTAAATATTTATCGTCGACATTTAATCTGTCGTGTTTACATAAATTCATAGTTTTAATTAATTATTGAGAGATATTGAAAAAAATGTGCTTTTCTTATCGTTCATTATTCTATTTTAAGTATAGCAAATAGAAGTTAGTCAACCTTCGTTATTGGTCCGTCGTCTTATCATAGACTGACGTCACTGACATCGAGGGTTTCACTTATCTTCTATTTTTTTTTATTCAGACATGTACTCGCGAGAGAATCTACGTTATATAGAATATATTATCAACCACGACGCGCGGCTAATAGATTTGGCGAGGTGAGCTTGAAAATAAAGCTTATAAACAGGAATGCATGAAATCTTTATTGCCATCCGTGAAGTAGTAAATAATTCGCGGATCGTGATAGAAATTATCTTTAATTTTCACGCGATGTTTGAAAGTTTATACTCAATGTCTATATAGAATGCGCGAACAGGAAGTTTATATATTTATTCATATACATATATTTCTTAATTTAAACATCTTTTTTAGCGAAAAAATTGAGTGATAAATATATCGTGTGAAAATACAAATTAAAAGAGGAAATGTTTTAAGTAATTTGTATTGTCACTCATAGACGTCATTTTTCTCAAAGCAAATTCACTGTCATTGTTTCAGGACAACGCCTCCAAAGTTCTAAGCATCAGGTAGTTATTTCATTCAGTATTTCATATACTTGTGTCTATATGATAAAGTGATTTGCACGCTTTAGCCATTCTCATAGGTATATTGCACATATACCTATTTAGCTTCCTGGTATCGGTAATATATTTGTAGCTTCAATCTCCTATGGGGTCATTCGCTACGATTTAAAGTCAATAATCTTGTTACAACTCACTACCGTTCACTTTAAGAGAATAGTATACATAACCTCATGGTAAGAGACACGATAAACCTTAAGTGTCGGTTTGCACGGTAATTCCTTCCTCCGCCAACCATTATGAACGGTCGTTATCACATTACCTATTGACCTTATGAACAGGTGAAAGATGATTCTTGCTTCTTGTTTGCCACAGTGACATCTCGCACTAGGTAAACTATAATTTTGATTGATAACAAAAATTAATTAATCTTTGCCAGTATATTAAGTCGTGCTGTTAATTAATTTTTCCAATAATATATTGTTGATTAAGCATAAAAGAAAATTGGAGCAAGAATTTTTCCTTCCGCAAAATGATAGACAAAATTGAACACATGAATATTTTTGTTTAGATAAAATAGATAATTTTGACAAAAATTAGTTAATTTTGAACTCTATTGTATTTTTGACAAATTCATCATTTTAATAATAATTTTTGTTTAAATTATTTTATGAATTAAAGGATACAATAATTTTTAAATTTTATAAAATGGTACAATCGAAATTATTGTAAGGTTGCAGCAATTTTCTATACGTTTTTCTTTGATGCATGATCTGCAATTTTTGGGGGGTCTACCGCACTTTTAATGAAAATGTTAACGCACCGATGGGGCAGTTTAAATTAAAATAAGAGATTTAAAATATTAAAATAAATTATAGATTATGGAAATAATTTATAAATATTATAAAGGACATCACACACTATTGCTTTGTGTTAATTATAATTTGGAGCATCCTATTTGATTCAATACAGTCTATGCTTCACTTTTTCCAACGTTATACCAAGTGAAGCAAAGTCAAGTACAGTCCACTTTTCTGTGGCAGCCATGTTGAAATCCATGATGGCCGTCTTGTGTTCCATAACACTTTGGCTCTGTAGGAATGGCACCAATAGCGTCTGCGAAACTTTCATTCGCCATCCCTACCTGTGATCCGTTGCTCCTATAGTTGAGACGATCCAACCCCACTCTCCATTTTCTTAACATCTATGTTTTCTCCCTCTACCAGAGGATCTTCGACGGCCATCATGGGTTCGTGCGTGCGCAACATCTGATTCACTAGACTCACGAGACTATATGACTGTATAGAATACGATGGCCTTCAGAAATCGATGTGTGTGATGTATGGGTTGAACAATTTTTAGTATTTTTTTAGACAAAAATATTCCTTCAAATGTAATATTCAATTAGTTTTTTTTGTTCTAAATTGATTAAGTTTGTATATATATTTATATATTTACGCGTCACATTTGCAAAATTATTTCAAACTCTTTATGGCATGAAGTAGTGACGAGAATAATTTAGTTTTTAAAAACTAAGAATAAATTCTGTCTTGATTTATAAGTCCATTTTTCGTATTTAATGTATTTGCTCCGTTTGTTTTTTTTTTATTTTGTTTTTATTAAAATTTTAAGAAAGAAAAAAATTTAGAGACAATGAAATTACAATCTGATATAACATATAAAGTAGTTTATTTTTAAATAATTAAAAAGTATTTTTACTATAACTTTTAAACGATTTAGATTTCATCATTTCTGCAATGGTCAAATATATCGTTTAAGGGTTAAAAAATAATCAAATATGTATATGAAATATGATAAAATAAGGATTATTTATATTTATAGTATAGCAAGCTGTAATAGTCTTACACATAGAATTAATGAAAATTATGACTAATAATTATACATGATATTTAATATAGTGCTATATAAATTTTGTTATTTATTTCTATGAAAGCATGTTTTATATCTTTTTAAATTATTGTTTTTAAATCTTTTTATAGAACGTTATATTGAATAAATTGTCTATTTTGCTTTCATCTCAGCAGCAGGTAAGATGTTTATTTTACCTGTGTGAAATCTTGCATAGAGTTTCTGCTGGTAAGGAAGAAAATGGTTTTGTGGTTTCGGTACATCTCTCTTCTTCTTATCAATCGAGATATTGGCCATGTAGTTACGAAATGTACCACCGTTTCAGACTTATTCAGAAACGCTGTGTATTTTGAATATTTTAAAATAAAGTTGAAA